TGCAATGGATGTGAGAAAAGTTTTTAATGCAAAGTCCACCCTCACTAACCACTAGAGAACTCCCCCAGGGAAGGAGCCCTAGGAAGGCAAGAGAGGTGGGAAATCCTTCCGAATGAAGTCAGCCCTCACAGTGCACCCACGGACACAGGGGAGAAACCCTACGGGTGTAAGAGATCTGGGAAGTCCTTCTGCAAAAACTCAACTCTTGAAACGTCAGGTCATTCACCCAGGAGGGATGCCCCGAGTTGCAACACATGCGGAAGATCCTGCACAAAGTCAAACTGCGTTGCACCATAGAGAACCATGGGAGAAACCCATGAATGTAGTAACATAAATACTCCATTCTGTGCAAATCCGTCTAGGCGACACCAGAAAACACGCATGGGGTGGAGGTGGGTGGGCTCCCTACAGGTGGAACGACCCTCGGGAAACCTGGGTCGTGTCTGACTAAACAGTGAAGTCTATGGGGAGAGACCCCTGTGAATGTCCTGTGCTGTAGCACCAACCTGTGGGTCAGAGATACGCTTCAGAGGGATCATGGGGAAAACACAGAGGATGCAACAAGGGTATAGACACACTTAAAACTCACAACCGACACATCAGGTGTTGATATTGGAGTGAAAACATGTACATATTTTATATGCATGAAAGCCTTCAAGAAAATAACTTTGTTTTAAAAGAAAGGAGATCGCCAGTGGCTGCAAGATCATATGCCAAGGAAGCGGTATGTGTGTCGTGCCTGAGTATCCCCCTTAGTGTCCCAGTCATTGAAACTGGCAGAAGTGCACCTGTGCCCTGGAGTGATGGGGTGCCTCACTTTACCCAGGTGATCAAATGTGGCATCACTAAGAGTGACACTGTGTGCCTCTTGACGAGATGCAGTTGGAGGTACTTAAGTTGTAGTGTGGACCTAACCAAGGGTCTTAATTCACTTATTAAAACTATTGTCTTATTCAATAGTTTACAGCAGGAGTGTCAAACTCATTTTCATCAGAGGCCACATCAGCCTCACGGTTGCCTTCAAACGGCCGAATGTAATTTTAGGGCTGTATCAATGTAACAGTTAAGCAAGAGCTCGGCGCTGCTGCCCGGTAGAAACAAGGTGCTGGGCAGGATTCGGCCACAGGCCTTGTGTTTGCCACCTGTGCTGTATCGGGAATGTAGGAAAGACCAGGACAGCTTTGTGGAGAAAACAGTCTGACCAGCCCAGAATGTGGGGCAAAGGTAAGACAGCAGGTGTCTTCAAAAGAGGCAATGTCATTAAAAAACAACAACGACAGAAGACAGGGCACTGTTTTCCCTTCAGTGGGATGAGACAAAAGTCAAATGCAGGGCAAGAACTTTGATTGGATCCAGAAGACACCCACGTCAAGTCTGGGGAATGTGGGCACTGGATGATAGCAGGGAGTCAGATCTGGCTTTCTGAGCGTGGTCATTGCAGTTATGGGCTGCGGAGTCTGCTGTGGGACCGGCGTGCTGAACACAGGCCGACGCACTGGTTCGGGGAGAATGCACGTGTACACAGATGCAGCATCCGCACTCCATAAAATTCGAGTAAAAATACTCGCATTTTAGCAAGTGTCCAACATCGTGGTAGACACATGGGTGTTCGCTATATTTTTCTTAAGAGAGTTCTGAAATATTTTGTGAAAGGTTTTGGAAAAGTGCCATGCCACTCACCTGTTCTCTCACTGTTTGGGGTTTTTCTTTTGGCAAGTCTGAGCGGTCACTCCGATTGTTACTGGTCCACTGTCAGTCCAACGACAGTGCCTTTTAAAGCATGTGACTGTCTTGGGTGCAGCTGAGTTAATGGAATCACGCCGATAAAGTGCAGGGTGCAGCCATGTGAGCAGCACGGCCTTGTTCAGAAGTAGCTGTGATCGCAGTGCTCATCACACTCAAAGTGGTGCTGGGTGGAGAAAACACCCCTTGCCATCCTGTCCTCGAGGGTGGCACGGGGGCCGCAGAGGTACAGGGCGTATAGCCCAAGCAGTAGGAGCCCGGGAGCCCCGGCATCACAAGGCACTAGGGGCTGTGATGGTTTCCTCGCAGCAAGTGGGCAGGCTGCGCTCAGCTCCCTCCTGCCTGGGGAGGCTCCACGAGGCTGGCTTTTCCCCCTGTCACCGACCGGGACAGGTTGGGGTTGGGCATGTGACCGAGCCTGGCCAGCAGGATGTTTCGGGAAGCGTTTTGGGTAGGTTGGGGAAAAGGTCTCCTTGTTAGTGGCCCTGCACAAAAATAGTGCACATTTTATTAGGAATTGAATCTTGAAAATGGAGCTAATGTTTTCTGTTGGGCTTGTTGTTGAGTCTGTGAACACTCTGGTTAGATTACAAAGATTCTCAGCGGGCTACCTTAACCCTGCTCTCTTGCTAAGACTCTTAATAGCCTCTTGGGCATGAGACTTGGGGAGCACGCAGGTTGCGTGTGGTTGGCTGATCCCGTGTTGGCATTAGATCAGCTGAACTGGGACAGGGGAGTGGTCTCGTGTGCAGTTGCAGACGAACGGTGGTCCCAGGAGGGAGGCCAGACCTCTTCTGTGACGTCATCCAGAGAGGCTTCCCTGTTCCTGTTACTCTTCCATCCGAGAAAGCAGGGTCAGCCAGCGGTTCACGGGCCAGCGCTGGCCTGCTGCCTCTTTCTGTAGACTGTGAACTGAGGGTGGTCTTCACATTTAAGTTGTTTCTTTTTCATCAAAAGACTCTCTGTGGTGTGAGACATGTCTGGAATGTTGGGTTTCAGGGTCCCTCCGTAACAAAGATCCTAGAGCTGGGCCAGGCCTGTGCCCCTGTGCCCTGGGGGCACGGAGGTGGGACAGCCAGAGGCGGGCAGCTACCAGAGCCTGCATGGGGCTGTTCCAGATGAGCCAACGCAAGTGCTGTCCCTATGGTCAGGGTGGAAGCCGGCTCACCAGCAGCACGGCTGTCATGGCGCAAGGGAAGGGGGTGAGGTCCCACACAGAGTGTCCTCTGCTGAGAATGTGTCCAGTTGTAGTATGGACCTAACCAAGGGTCTTATTCACTTATTAAAACTATTGTCTTATTCAATAGTTTACAGCACGAGTGTCAAACTCATTTTCATCAGAGGCCACAGAAGCCTCACGGTTGCCTTCAAAGGGCTGAATGTAATTTTAGAACTGTAAATGTAAAGAAAGTCTGGAATGTGAATTCCACATCCCGTTGAGCTTCCCGGTTGTGGGTGGTGCGGTGTGCTGCCTCTTAGGAAGTGCATACGCCCGTTTTTTTCCTGGAATTAATTTTTACTGGGGTCTCCACAAATCTTGGCTGATACAAGCAGCAGAGTATCAGCTCTGCTGATCCCTCGTTTCTGCTCCTTGGAGCGGTTTGAGGCACGTGGTACAGAAGAGAAAGGATGTCCCCAATGGGAATGAGCCCCCTTGTGGACTGATCCTCTCCTCTGGGAACTTTGTATGGTTGCCAGAAGTGCCACCTGGGAAATGTGCCCAGCAACGGTGTGGCTGTGGAGCTAAGGTCCGCACGCCGGCACCCCCCGTGCTTGTCTGCCCATCTGAGCTGGCCTGAGGGGGGGCTGCTCCAACAAAGCCCTGCTTTCCTGTCCCGGGACTGCACCATGGCGGACGAGAACATGTGTGGTCTGGAAAACGATTCCAGTCCAAGTTTTCTCCACCTGCCCTGACAGCATCCGGCTGCCCATACCTCCCCGCCGCCCAAGAGCCGCATCTGCCCTCCCGCAGAGCCGGCTCCCAGTCCATTGAGTTTCCTGGGCTGGGACCTGCTGGCTCTTCTGGGGCATCACTGAGTTGGTCGTGGAAACAAACCAGCAGCCCGTGCCAGCTCCTCAGTTTGGCAGGAATCACAGACTTTACATGCAGGGAAGGGAGAGCAACTTGTGTGTGATGTGGTTGCCTCCGTGATGAGACGAGACGAGCAGCCAGACTTTAAGTGTGTTTCCTTCTTACCGAGAGGTGCTCCATAAAGCCGGCCAGTCTCTGGGTGCAGACATGTCACCGAGGACGCAGCCCCCTTTGGGGAGCCCGACTGGGTCTCCCTGCCAGGCAGACTGGGATGGAACAGAGAGGCAAGGGCGGCTGTGGCCTCAGACAGCACGTGGCCATGTCTTCATCTCCACCTGTTTTGGAGGCCATGGCAGCAGCGACTGACCCAACCCTCCACCGACTGAGGGAAGATTGAAACATGGGGGGACCTCCCCTCCCCACACAGCCCGTGAAAAGCCCCCTCAGGGCTCCTGACCTGCTCACAGCGTGAATTATGAGGGCCCTGTGTTCGAAAGGCAAGCACTAGTGTCGGTTTTCAGTCTTTGCCGCCCAGTAGGGAGACTGACCCAGCCTGCACCACGCCTCCTCCCACTAGTGCAGGCCTGTGCGTCCTGCATGCTCACCAGAAGAGTCCAACACTCCCAACGTGGCCTTCCGTCAGCCCTAAGACCAACCGTGACCGAGGCATAAACACACGACGACAAACTGCATGGCCAGGCTGCTGAAGGGGCGGCCTCGGGGCTGCCCCTGAGCGTGCAGGCTCTCCGTCAGAGGAAGGGAACGTGGTCAGCCGCAGCAGCTTTTCAGGCATTTTACTTGAAGCACACACTGTGGGTTTAAGGAACAACAATGACGCACGAGCGTGGGAAACCTTTGTAGCTGTTCCAACAGACGTACTGTGACACATGGCTCCTACATCGAACTCTACAACCTGCCAGACCTCTCTGTCCTGTCCCATGGCACACTCCAGTCACCTCGAAGAGCGTGGAGGAAAGTGTGAGAAACAGGTATGAGACACAAGTGTGAGTCAAGTGTGAGCAAAAGTGTGAGACACAGGTACCGGGTATGGTGGAAATACACAAAAAAACGTGGTGACTCATCTCAGTGGCGAGGGGTGAGCTACCCAAACAAGAGAGGCATCAATCAGGCTCTGAAAAGTAAATAAAAGCAGGTCCTTACCTTACACTGTATGTTGTCAACTAACATTGTAGTAAGATGCACGAATGATACAAATGAACCGAAATGAAGCTTGTCATGCTTTATAAAAAGGAAGATTGTATCAGGTTCCAGAGGTGTTTAGGTCAACGATGTCATAATTCAAGGATACATATGCGCTCAATTGTTTCTAATCTGAAGCTACTTACGTCAAAATTTACAGAAAATAAATCTCTGTATCAACATCTCGAAATAAATGATTTACCTAAAGTCCACTTCTCAGTTGTGTAGCTCCTAAAAAAGTATAACTTTGTATCTTCAGTTACCAGTAACAGAGCCACCTACATCCACTTGCTTAAAAATAAATTTAGTCTCTCACAAAAGAAACAGTCCAGACGTGAAGTGGCTTCACTGCTGGTTGGTTCAGCGGTCTCGGCAGCATCGTCCAGGCCCCGGGTCCCTCCAATCCTCCTGCTGTGTCACATTTCAGTGGCCTTCATCGTTGGGAGACATCACCAGGCATCACAACGGTTCCACGCCACCCTTCAGGACTCCTTGAATCTTGGAGGAAACCTCCAGGAACAACTTGTCAGATGTCTCCTTGGCACCTGTCTAGAACTGGGTCCTATGACCCCTCCATCTCTGATAATGAGAGGGATTTTCATCAATGGTCAAAACTGATCAGGATTTATCCCCCATTCCATAAGGAGAAATGGCCACCCACATTCTGCCACCAAACAGCAAGGAGCATGTGACGGGGGTGGTCACTCAGCAACGTGGCCACAAACCCATGGGAACGTGTTCATGCCCTCAAGTCCCAGAAGGAGTAGAGCACAGCCTGTATGAGTGCCATTATAGCTGATCAAGATACAGGTGATTGCCAAGTTACATTGTATGGTGGTCTGCACACTTACATTTGTGTAGACAGCCAAATAACAACAGGTGAAAACAATTAGATAACAAATTAGAAAAAGAAATCGATAAAAATGGAAGTATTTTAAAACTGTATAGAGTTCAATGAATACTTGAGCTGACTCTCAGTGCTCAAGGCTCCTGTCACAATTTAAAATTAGCCGTGCAGTTTCCCACCTATTTTATGCATTTCTGTGTCTTGCTGACTCAGATACAGTGGGCACTATTATAAAAAGCATTGACTTCTGTGTGGAAGAATTAGTTCGTTAACAATAATCAAGTACATTTGTAAGTGCTAAGGAAGAGCACAAGAAGCATTCTTCACACCCCTGCAGTTCAATGGCAGTGCGAAGCAAGTGCTAAGAGTGGTGCTATTTAAAATGAGTAACCTTGTTACGTGTCTTACAAATCACTCCAATAAGGATACGCTGCCCTTTCAGACCTGACTGAGAATGAACAGACAATTCCTGTAACACGCCATCCTGGGCAGCAAGCAGGCAAAGGCATCCATTCCGAGGAAACATGGTCTGTGAGTGCAGTGCAGGCTAAGCGGCTGGTCCTGGTTAGTTACCTGATTTTACAGCTTCTATTTACACAAGGAGCACATCTCTTCATAACGTGCCTTTTTGACAAAACAAAAACAAACAAACAAAAAAAACCTTGTCACATAGAAAACATAACTCTTAGTATTAACGATTTCCAAAGGGGAGTGTTTTCCACATCCCTCAGAACGGCAGCTCCCCCTTGGCACGAACTCCCTGATGTGTAGCAGTGCAGATCACGCAGAAGTACACACAGCTGCGTGTTCACAAACTTCTCTCCTGTGTAGTCTGGTGACCAGAAGTCATGCGGCCGTGGCTTCCACCCTGTGGACTGTCGGGTTACCCGTCTGGCTCATGCGCGGAGGCTGGCCCTCGCTCCCCTGGGAACTCGCGCTCCCGGTGGCAGGAGCGCGCACCCAGCGCCCTGAGTGGGCCCTCCGCTGGGACACGAGGTCTGACCTCAGAGGAGCCGGCCCACCTCAAGCACGTTCATGTTCCCTCTCCGATGGACACGCTGGTGGCTGTTGAAGGCGGATTTGTGGTAGAACTTCTTCCCACACTCGTTGCATTCATAGGGCTTCTCTCCCGAATGTGTCCTGTAATGGACGGTGAGGTACGACATCCGGGAGAAGGCCTTCCCACATTCGTTGCACTCGAAGGGCTTCTCGCCCGAGTGGATGCGGTGGTGGATGGTGAGGTACGACATCTGCGAGAAGAACTTGCCGCACTCACAGCACTCGTAGGCCTTCTCCCCCGTGTGCGTCCTCTGGTGTCTGTTCAGGGCGGAGTTCTGGCAGAAGGTCTTCCCGCACTCGCCGCACTCGTAGGGCTTCTCGCCCGAGTGGATGCGGTGGTGGATGGTGAGGTACGACATCTGCGAGAAGAACTTGCCACAGACGCAGCACTCGTAGGGCTTCTCCCCCTTGTGGATGCGCCGGTGCCTGCAGAGGGCGGAGTTCTGGTAGAAGGTCTTCCCGCACTCGCCGCACGCGTAGGGCTTGACCCCCGAGTGCGTCCGGTGGTGGATGGTGAGGTAGGACAGCTGGGAGAACAGCTTCCCGCACTCGCTGCACTCGTAGGGCTTCTCGCCGGTGTGCACCCGCTGGTGCCGCATGAGTGCCGAGTTCAGGTAGAAGGTCTTGCCGCACTCGCCGCACTCGTAGGGCTTCTCCCCCGAGTGCGTCCGGTAGTGCACGGTGAGGTACGACAGCCGAGAGAAGAACTTGCCGCACTCGTTGCACTCATAGGGCTTCTCCCCCGTGTGCGTCCGCTGGTGCGTGGTGAGGGTGGACTTACGGCAGAAGCACTTCCCACACTCGGTGCACTTGTAGAGCTTCACACCGGTGTGGATCTTGTGGTGGTCGTTGAGCGCCGACTTCTGGGAGAAGGTCTTGCCGCAGTCGTGGCACACGTACGGCCTCTCCCCGGAGTGCGTCCGCTGGTGCTGGGTGAGGTGCGTCTTCTGGCAGAAGGCCTTCCCGCAGTAACCGCACTCGTAGGGCTTCTCCCCCGAGTGCGTCCGCTGGTGCTGGATGAGGTGCAGCTTCTGGTAGAAAGTCTTCCCGCACTCGCCACACTCGTAGGGCTTCTCCCCAGTGTGCGTCCGCTGGTGGACGGTGAGCGTCCCCTTCTGGCAGAAGGATTTCCCACACTGGTTGCATTCGTAGGGCTTCTCCCCCGTGTGCGTCCTCTGGTGGATAATGAACTTAGACTTTTTACAGAAGGATTTCCCACATGCACTGCACTCGTAGGGCTTCATCTCCATGTGAGACGCTGGGTGGGCACTGAGGTCTGACATCTGGAGAAAGGCCATTTCCGACTCATTCCACTTGTAGGGCTTCTCCACCATTGGAGCGACAAACGCCGGGTCCCCCCGAAAGGCTTTCTGGCATTCGATATACTCAAAGGGCTTCTCCAAAATAGGAGCGTTCTGATAAATACTCTCTCCATTTAGAGAATAAGCTTCCCCGCTCTGATTTAATTCATACGCTTTCTCTCCTGGATGCGTTTTCTCCAGCTTCACGTGGAGAAGTGACTTCCCACATGCACTGCACTCACTGGGCTTTGTCCTTGCATAGCTCCCGTCGCTGCTGATGTATTCGGAAGTGGGCTTCAGGGTCTTCCCACACGAGTCGCATTTGTACGGTACTTTCCTTGAAGGAACAGTGTCTGTCTCCACATGTAAGGTCTCACCGAGAAGAGTGGCTCCCTCTTCAGTCAGGGTTTCGTTGTAGGTCAGTACAGTCTGCCTCCAACACCTATCTTCACTTTCCTGGGCTGTCTCTGTCACATCGACTTCCCAGGCTTCTAAAAGGAGGCAAAATTAACCAAGTTTGGACATCTTCCTGCACAAGATACGGAATGAGACATACACAAGCATTTCATCGGGTCACAGGGGCTAGCTTCACAGATGGAAATAATTCCACACATCCTTCCCCTCCCTCATTCCTTGGTCTGGAATCACACACTCACGGGAGGCTGTTCTCCTGTGGTGACCAGAGGGGAAATAAACTGACAAGAACACAAGCACCTGTGATCTTTATTACTTTATAAGGCCCTGTTCATACTGGATAAAGAAGTTAAAGAGAAACTCAGAGGGTGGTCAGAAGACAGGATGCCTGCTGAATGCCAGACGAGAGGGGACTCCCCACAAGTGGGGATGAGTGACAAGGAAACAAGGAGAGCTGGGGACAGGGAGGTCATAAGACCTCTCCAGGGGACTTTCAGGCCAAGATGGAGGTGTAGAAAGAAACACTGTACCTTCTCGCACAACCAAGTTTAAAGACAACAAAGTTTTGGTATCAAAAACACAACCAAAACACAGAAAATTGAACTATACAGAAGTCTGACAACAAAGAACCGTTCAGCCAGACAGGTAAGGGGGCACAGTCAGCAGATGGCAGAGCAGGGTCGGGCAGGAAAAAGTTGCTGGACCAACCCAGGAGCACAAGCGGCGGTTGGCAGATCCCAGGCGCAGGGTGGCAACAGGTAGGCCCAGTGAGGGCCCAAGGCAGCTGGCTGACCGTGGTCACACATTTGCGCGCAGATAAACTAGGCGAAGGAGCGAGCAGTGAGACAGACCACACAAACCAGGGCCCCAGCAACGGGAATTAAAGCCTAAAAGCACCAATTAGAAAAACTTTCAGAATCAAGGTGCCAGGAGAAGCTCCCAGGCTCACAGAGAGTTTGTTGGAGAGACCCATAGGGTCCTGGAGGGTGCACAGGCCCACACACCTGGGAGCCGGCAACGGGGTGGGGGGGTGGGTTTGCTTGCTGGAAGCAGCAGAGGGGACCAAAATCTGAGAGAGAGCGTGGAAAAAGTGCCACTGCCACTCTCTGACCACACCCCCACATACAGCGTCACAACCCAGCCTCTGGGTCGCCCCACCCTGGTGATCACCTAAGGCTCCACCCCTCATATGTAACAGATGCGAACAGACCAAAACATTATAGCTCAAGAAGAACAGCTCAAAGCCCCAGAGCCAATACTTCTAAGCAACCAAGAGGTAGCCAACCTATCAGATGCACAGTTCAAAACACTGGTGACCAGGATGCTCACAGAACTGGATGATTTTAGTCACAAACTAGAGGAACAAATGAAGGCTAAACTAATTGAGATGAAGGGAAATGCACAGGAAACCAATAGTAATGGAAAGGAAACTGGGACTCAAATCAACGGAGTGGACCAGAAGGAAAAAAAAAAAATCAAACAGAAAAGAATGAGGAAACAAGAATTCAAAAAAATGAGGAGAGACTTAGGAATGTCCAGGACATCATTAAATGTTCTAACATCCGAATTATAGGTGTACCAGAAGGGGAAGAGGAAGAGCAACAAGTAGAAAACTTATCTGAACAAATAATAAAGGAGAACTTCCCCAATCTGGCAAAGGCAATATACTTCCAGGAAATCCAGGAAGCTCAGAGAGTCCCAAAGAAGATGGACCCAAAGAGGGACACACCAAGGCACATCATAATTATATTAGCCAAGATTAAAATGAAAGAGAGAATCCTAGAAGCAGCAAGAGATAAGGGGACAGTCACCTACAAAGAAGTTCCCATCAGACTATCAGCGGATTTCTTAAAAGAGACCTTATAGGCAAGAAGGGGCTGGAAAGAAGTATTCCAAGTCATGAAATCTAGAGACCTACATCCAAGATTGCTCTATCCAGCAAAGCTTTCATTTAGAATGTAAGGGCCAGATAAAGTGCTTCTCAGATAAGGTCAAGTTCAAGGAGTTCATCATCACCAAGCCCTCATTATATGAAATGTTAAAGGGACTTATCTAAGAAAAAGAAGATAAAAAATATGAACAGTGAAAGGACAGCACACTCACAGTTATTAACAACCACACCTAAAACAAAAGCAAAGTAAGAGGACAGCTAGATCAGGAGCGGAACCACAGAAATGGAGATCACATGGAGGGTTAGCAACAGGGGAGTGGGAGGAGGAGAAGGGGGGAGAAGGTACAGAGAGTAAGTAGCATATACGGTAGGTAGAAAATAGATGGGGGAGGGCAAGAATAGTATGGGAAATGTAGAATCTAAAGAATTTGTGACACGTGGACATGAACTAAAGGAGGGTTTGTGGGTGGGAGGGTTGTGCAGGGTGGAGGGGAATGAAGGGGGGGGAATGGGAAACTGTAATGGCATAATCAACAAAATATATTAAAACAATAAAAAGACCTCTCCAAGGATGGACCTGCTCTGGAGGAGGACAAACAGAGCTTTCCAGTGTCATTTCCTGTCAACTGGGAGGGACATGACAGCCCAAGGCACTGTCCCCTCATACTCAGAGGTCTGCGACAGCACTGACTAGAAGATCCTTCCAAACTATTTGCCTTTTCCCCCTAGATTCCACACAGCAGCATCAAGCACACTGATGCCTAAATCCCCTCGTGGTTAGAGCAATGGCCCTGCAACCAGGGCTCCGCCACTAACTCCGCCCCTCTCGAAGGAGAGCTCCAGGAACAGGTGTGCCCAATGGGGGGCACAGCCACCACAGCGTCGGTCGCCCTCTCCCGGTTCTGGATTTCTTAACTACTCTAGCAGTGTTAGTATTTCAACAGGACTCACACTGACCATGAAGTCTGGCAGGTGACCCAGGGCAAGTTCCTGGCCTCTCCCCCCCGACTCAGCAGTATCCTGGTGACATGCAGACCACTCGGCACCTGCTTCGTGGGGCTGCTGTGGGGTCGTTAGGTCAATACGTACAACGTGCTCGGAACGGCACCTGGCACCAGACACAGGCCCTGTGTGTTCAGCAGCTGTTTTCCCCGTTTTCAGTCTCTGGACCTTCTCCTGGGACTCATCTCATTCTTGGCCTACATGCCACTGTCACCGAAGTGAACGCGAACAGCACTTCCCCACCCCTGAGTTTCATTCAGTGAACAAACGCTAACAATTAGACTCCTCAACCTGCTCCAAAAAATGTGACCTTTACTTTTACTTATCTTACAAATTTTTAGACAAACTGGACTATTGTGTTTGCCCTTTTCCACATCAAACCTACAACTTCCCCAAGTCCACTGTCGAAGCAGCAACAGACACAAGTCCGGTCAGGAACCCTTTCACCACCCCGATTTACAACAAGAGCCCCAACTAGGATTCTCCTGGTCACTGAAACAACTCCTGCTCCAGCAAAGTTAGCCTGTCTCCTGGGCAGAGGGGTCGCCAGACATGGCCACGGAGGAGCCCGTCTGGAGGCGGCAGCCCGGCACCGTGCACCGCGCCCTCCAGCGCTCGTCTGAGAGACAGCCTGCCTTCACACTCGGCCCCAAGTCTCTGCTGCTGCTGAGTCCCTCAGTTGGCTGGACTTCCAGTCTTGATCGACTCAAAGCCTACTTCTCAGGGGGTCCCCATGCTTTATGGAAACACTTCTCAAATCCTTTCTCATCTCCAGGAGCATCATTCTCCCTTAAAGCTGAAGACAGTTCTGCCCATACAATCACATCAGCACAAAGTGGTCCAGCCTTGCTGGGGGCATTAGTGTCCCGTGTGAAACGCTGACCTTCATGTTACTCCAGATGCCTCTGTTCCCTCATAACCAAAACCCATCTCTTAGGAAGTATGGCTCTGTTTACTGTTTCCATAGTGATCAGAGATGCTGTCCTCAGTCTGAATCCTACGGGTGCGTGTCCCTCATGCACCTGCAGGATGTGGAAATGTGACCCGCACGGGCGTATTCAGAGACGATTACCTGTAAGGTAGTTCTGAACGATGGACAAGAACGTTCTGCCCCCTGCCTGGCTCCCAGGCAGTCAGAGGAGGACACACGCCCTACACGTCACCTCGGGAGAGCACGCTGTACAGGGTTGGGGTCGGGCCGGGAGACGCTCAGGCAAAAACATTACAGATAGACCAGCAAAGACTAGATGCCGTGGTCAGACCTAACTTTCCCAGCGGTGTCCCCACGAATGGAAAGAAGGAAGAGACGGGAGTGAGGACTAGAGCTGGATGGGAGAACTCCAAGGAGCGGAGGGTTTGGGATTTGAGCGTGGACCTGAGTATGTGGTCTGCCCAGACCACTGCCATGGGAGCTCTGGGGACAATGGCCACGTAAACGTGGCATGTTGAGGGATCTGGACTAAATGGAGTTTGGCTGCATTTTGGGGAACAACTGTAAATCAATTTTCCCAGCAACACAGTGCACACAGTGGTGACCCTCCCAGGGTGGGGAGATGACGGTCCCTGTAGGAAACCGCATGGAATCACCACAGGCTCATCCTGTGCGACGGGCCGTCAGGGCCACTGGGCATGTCATGTGAACACACCCTGCAAACCCAGGCAGGAGGCAGGCGTGCGTCCCAGAGGAAAAGGGCGTGCGTCCTGGGCACATGGAACAGAAGAGCAGGAACCCAGAGACTCGGGACAGGAGGAGCCCCTCACAGAGCAAACCGCTGGAGGCGGAGGCAGAGCCTTCGCCACATTTGTGGAGGGGCCGGGCGGAGTGGGGAGGAAACACAAGTCACAGTTCCTCCCCGTCTGTGGCACTGACTGAGCACCTGCTGTGACAGGACTTGGGGAAGGCTCAGGGGCAGAACAGTAAGAGAGACAGGATGAACCCGGTTCCTGCTGTCGCCAGCCTCAGCAGTGGGCGAGACCCAGAGTTTAGGAGGAAGAAGGAAGAGCCTGGATTTGGGTTGTGGGAGGGAAGCACGGAAAAGCTTCTCAAGCTGCAGTTTCTGTGGGGAAGGAAGATGCCTCTGGGGGTGAGCCGGGAAGCGAGAGCGCACAGGCAGCCACCTGCGGTCACTTCCGGAGGTCTGGGGCCATTACATCCCCGGGGAAGCACCCCCAGCCCCCTCAGCGCCCCCACCGACGCACCTGGCCACCTCGGAGGCAGGAGCCCTCCTTCCACCCACGGCTCTTCCCCTTGCTCCAACTTGACGATAACTTCCGGTTTGACGATGTGACACCCTGTTAACAGAAATAAAGGGAACTGGAGCCCGGCTGCTGGGCTTCCGCTCGCTTCCGTCTGAGCAAAGTGCTGGCCGAGGGCCTGCACGGCTCAAGTGCCCACCTGGGTCATGTCAAACTGAAGACCACTCACCAGGGAGCAGACCAGAGCACCCTGCCTGGTGCCCAGAGTACACGACTCACATTTGTTCTATTGCGGTCAGAGTCACAGCCAGTGAACAGGAGATCCCCTTCACTCACCAGCTCCAGGTGCCCACCCCGCCCGCCCCGCTCACCCACAGAGACCAGGTGGCTGTAGTTCTCCAGCATCACGTCCCTGTAGGTTGTCTTCTGCTCGGGGTCCAGCTGCTGCCACTCCTCCTGGGTGAAGTCCACGGCCACGTCCCTGAACAACACTGGCCCCTGCAACAGCAGCATGTTCGGAACCGGATAACGCAGAGAAGGCATCCAGGGACAGGGGCTGGCCAAGCTCACAGGTCAAGTCAACCACGAACGTCGTACACCCTTTATGTCCCAGGTCGTGGGAGGAAACCGAGCTGTCGGATACACTGGAAAGCGCTCATTCAGCACACAGTGAAAAGATCGTGCTGCCGCGCATGGTGAGCCAGGAACAGCACCAGCTGTGGGGGACTGGCAGGCGTAGGCCTGAGGGGCACCCGTAGGAGCACAGGGTGCACTCTGCTCCTTCGCTTCGCTTCCAGAACCCAGACAGTGCTGGTTTGGCTCCTGCTCAGGCGCCTTCGCCAGCCCCACTGCTCCACGGCATCCCGGAGGGGCCCTGGGCTCCGTTCTCGCCTGCTACTCTGCCATCTGCCAGACGGGGCCCCATCCGGCCTCCTGGCTCTAACTACCGTCTAAACACTGACGTCTCACAAATCTATATCGCCAGCCTGGACTCCTGGACCTGTCTGCAACAGGTCGCAGGCTGCAAACTCAGTGTGCCCAAGACTCAGCTGCTGTTCCTGTCCGAGCCTGGTCCTCTGACAGCTTCCAGAAAGAGCTGGCCTGCAGTGCCAGCCACAGCAAGAAGCAAGCCAGGCAACATCCAGCCCCGTTTTCCGTTTTACTGCACGGTCAGCCCACAGCCAGTCTGCCCAGACCGCCTCCGGAACCCTCGCTACCCGCTAGTGTCTGTGCGCCCTGCTGCTGCTTGAAAACGGCACTGCTGTGGGTGCTGCAAATGACGTTTGGTTCGGTGACGCGGTGACAGTTTGCCCACGTGCGCTGCATGGCATACAGGGAAGGGGAAATTGCACTATTTTTTCTTCTGCCCTAAAACAAGCAGCTTTAAGAAAGTGGGGTTTCAGAAAACTTGGATAACAAATTAGGAGACCGATAAGAACTGCGGATATTGAGGAGTTTTTAGGTTAGTTACCAACGGAATGGGAACGGCACCCGCCAGTGTGTTTTAAAGACTCCACGACAGAGTGGCCACCCAGAGACAGCTTCTCGATCTCAGCAGCGGAACCGTCTAGACGTTTCCACACAAGCCGGAGCGACGCACACGGGAGGAGAACGCTTTGCGCCCATGGGCTCAGCCTCCACCTTCTCAGAGCCAGCTGTCCCTGCGCACAGCGCCAATCATGCCCCTGCAGTGGGGGAGGGGCACACGGCCCCTCCCCTTTCCAAGAGGCCTTTCCTGACTGGCCAGGGAAGAAGCGAGCAGTGAAATTCCACTGGCCATGGCTGAGAGACAGAGTAGCCCCCAGAGGACAGTAAGTGACAAGGACCCAGGAGAGCGTGAGCCACTGCCTCCGCGTGTCACAGGCCGCACAGGAACAGCGGGGCTGCTGGGCTGAAGACCGCAGTCCCAGGACCCCAGAGCCCTCCCCCCCATCGGGAGAGACAAAGACAATCTCGGACACACAAGCCTCCTGAGTCAGGAGCCCCACACCACCTGCGTGGCCAGTCCAAAGAAAGCGACTGATGTGGCGCTTAGAGCCAGGGAGGGGAAGATGGCGAACGGGCAGAAACGAAAGAATCACCAGACCAGCGAATCCTTCCCTCCCACCCACCACCACGAAAGACACCGCACCTGGACTCACCAAAGGGGGCCCCCTTGAACCAGGACCACCCCCATGCAAAGGTGCTCATTTGGGGACATTTAGAAAAATACAAAGTACTCAATTTCTCAAAATGAAAATACGACAGAATTATATGGTAATCCTGGAAAATAAAGTAAAAAGACAAGTAAACTCAGAAGAAAATGTTTACTGACATGACCCAAACTGGAAAAACGTATAAACATTTAAGACTGTAAGCGAGAAAACAAAGCAGTGTTGTGATAGAATGCCTGGCGGTGGGCGCGAACAGGCACTTCCGTGGAAATGGAAATGGGCCAGTCTGGAAAGGGCACACTCACTGAATGGTTCTGAGTATCTGACATTCTGGAAAGTGCAAACCTACACAGACAGTAAGAACAGCAGTTGTCAGGGTCAGGGAGGGAGGGAGGAACAGGTGGCGCCCAGGGGACTTTCGGATCCTGCAACTATTCTGTATGGCACAGTAATGGTGGACACACGTCAGTACACATTTGCCCAAACCTAAACCGCACATCACAGAGAGTGAACCCTAATGTAAAGTGTGGACTTCAGATACCGATGCATTGATACCGACCCTTCAGTTGTAGTGAAGTCCCACACGGCCGTGAGGTGGGGACAAGAGGAGCAGCTGGGAGGACGCAGCGTGAGACCTCCGTGGTCTGCGTGACTTCCATAAACCTCAAACGGCTCTAAAAGCAGCCCACTGATGGGAGGAAGGTCTCTAACTCCGTAAAATATAAACCTCACTCGTGACTGAGAGAAAACCGCAAGCCCACAGACAGACTGTTGGGGCTCTGCATCAGCCACAGCCCCCCAAGTCAAACTCCTTTTCCGGCATCTCACTGGGAGCCTGAGTCCCCTGGACTCGCGCCTCCCCTGCATTTCATGCCTTTTGCAGGAGCGGTCCCTGGATAATGCGACGTCTTCTTATCGGAGGACTCACTTTCCCAGTGCAAAGGTTTCAAATTCTTTGTGGAACAAACCCACGTGGGGACAGTGCTGGCGGCCCCTCACTCAATCCTGTGTTCACGGCCCTCCCAGCAGGCCCTCGTCCGGAGGAAGCAAAGATTCTTCCCAGCACCTCATGCCATCCTCTGAGCACCTCGACAGCCTCTGCAGCCACTGAGGTCTGGCTCATTTCAGGGCCGCCACAGGTACAAACTGCCCCATCCACCTGCACCTCCCCCTTTGCCAAGTGGCTGGGCCCCAGGACAGCCACAGCCAGCCTGTGCTCGCCACACGGCAGAGCCGATAGCTGGGGGGCAGAGCCATGAGCTCCCACAGTTGCTTCTGAGTCACCTCCTCTAAGGAGAATGGAGGCTCCCTGAGGGGAAGAATTGCCTCTTAAGATCATGTCCGAGGAAAGACCTGGTCACAGAAACCGACAAGGAGACTGCAGATGGGCAAGGCAATTGTGCCTATACTCAGGCAGTAGTGCTATTGCAGAGCAAGGGGGGCCTTCTCTGGGTCAGGGACAGGACCACGCTGTAGGCCACAGGATAAAACCTGAGTGGGAGATGCGGAGTCTGTGCCAGAGACGTCACTGCCTGCTCTGCTGTGCATCCCCGACAGATGACCAGAGGCATTTGGGGGACTCATCTGAAGGGTGAGAGGGCCACCCTTCAGATGGTCCTCGCTCCAGGTGGTCCTCGCTTTACCGCTGATCAAGCAGTAAAGACAACGTATCTATGGGAAGATGACGTTTCGGTCCCCTGAACAGTTATGTGTACTGAGTGTTCCCTGTGTGGCATGCCCTTGGCTTACAGAAAGCCGTACCAGTGGGAACGGCTCAGGGATTGTCACTTAGGAAGGCTAGGCGCTATCACAGTGACAGTGTCAACAAGATCTTAAAACCCATGACAGAAAAGTGTTTTAGCTGGTCAGTGTAAGTCACGTAATGGATGGCATTGGCCATTTTTTGCTACAAATATTAAGAACATGAGCACACATGTACTTTGGCTTTAAGTGCACCCAAGGGCCATGCTGTCCACACACATGAACGTGACGGAAAATGCCTGGCGCTGATCTGCCACCCCAAGGTGTCTGAGCACCTCCCTTACCGGGTCCACTTTCACATTTTCAAGTTTGAATTATTCACCTCCTAAGGTCTATTATAAAGCAAAAACCAGGGAATAGACACATAACCAGAAAAACTCACCAGAGATTTATTCATTTTCCGCTCCTCTTGGAAAACCGTGGTGGACCGTGAAAGTGGAACCAGACCTGGAGAAGGGAAACGCAGCAGCAGAGTTCGGTGGTCTGCTGGCCCAGGAAGTGCGCTTCCTGCGTGAGAGCTCAGCGAGAACTCAGGGAGAAAGTTCCATCACAGATGCCTAGGGGAGACTGTCCCTTTGGACCTAAAGAAGTCACTGGAAGAGTAAAAAGGAGGGAGCATCCACTTGTATGTCCTGAACTCCCACATGATTATGTGATGATGTAGTGGATACATTTCTGATTACAGAATGAATATCAAAGCCCATTGAAAGAGTCTTACATCGTTTCATGTAAAAATTTTTTAAAAACTTGTTATAGTTATCTTTCTTATTGTTCTAACAGCTTAAGATCACAAAACCCACAGGATGCTCTTGGTAAAGGGGCACACTCAAGGATGGCTAAGTCTTTAAATTATTTGTATCAACTCGAGTGTGCTGCCCAAAGGATCTCTTACCTATAAGCTTTAAGGGTAATAAAGTGGGGCCAACACCTGGCCTGAGAGTCTTGGTCCTGTCAACAATCCCACCTGCAGACAAGTCACTGCCCATCTCAGGCCCAGTCTCTGTCACCGGGGCAGCACCACTCCCCCTTGCAGACTCAGCCTGCTCTGCCCTGTGTGACTGACTGCACACGGCAGAACCAGGGGGAGTCAGCGCACACTTACACTTAGGTCAGAAAACAAAGGTCCTGATGGGCGTTTAGAGACCAGTCTGGAACTGGAACACCGGAGGAGGAGAAGCAGAGGAAGGGGTGTCGGGTGTGCAGGGAGGGGACACCGCACGTCCGCAGCCCAGGCTGACACCCTAGTCGCCCAGGAGACCGAGAAGTCACAAGTCCCAGGGGAGCGCCCACTCCCGAGCAGCCCGACCCTGCACCCCGGCCCAGGCACAAGGATCTCCGGGAAGTGGCCAACGCTCCCTGTCTCACCCTCGCGTGTCCTCTCCCGGGCGAGCCTGCTCACCGCGGCCGGGAAGACCCAGAACTGACCCGGGGCCGCAGACGCACAACCTACCCCGGCGGGACTCGCTGATCTGTCCCAAGGCTCCCGAGGCTCTAGGACCGGACTGTTCCTCCGGCGCCCCCTCCCCCGGGGTTCCCGCCGCTGCGCCTCCCGAGGCCGCGTCCCCGAGGAGCCCGCTCTGGGCCTACGGGACAAACTCACTCAGGAAAACGTCCCTCGCGGGGCCTCACCGTCCGGCGCGCCTCGGCCCGGCCGCCGCGACGCAGCCCAGCCCAGCCCAGCCGGGACCCCGCCGCCTCCCCCGAGCTCCTCGGGCCTGGCCCGCGGGCTCCGGGGTCGCTTCGGGGGTCCCCGCTCCAGAATCCGCCCGCCCGCGCGAACCCTGGCCCGCACAGCCCCGCGCCCGCTGGGTGGCGGCCCGACCGGACAGCGTCCAGCCCCGCAGGCCCCGGGATCCTCGCCCAACGGAGGCCAAAGCCTGGGAACCACGGCCAGCGGTGACCTGGGCACGGACAGGAAGCGACAGCAGCGCGGTGGTAGTGCGCGTGCGCGAACACGCACTCAGCCCGAGTTGCACATGCGCACGAGGGCGCCAGAAGTCCGCTTGGCAGGACACACCAGGGCAGCGGCACAAATACCAGGACTCTATTTCCCATAAGTCTACGTGCCGTCGAGTTAGGGGACGTCTTAATAGTCATCCAGCCTGTTAGAGGCGCTGTGCGGACAGAACTTGCCGCCCCCCCCTCCCCGACAGTGAACCCCAGTTTCCCCATAACTTAAAGGGACGTGTGTAATGTCGCCGCTGCACCACGTGACCCGGCGACCTAGAGTTTTCCTTACTGTAACGGAGTAAAGTGAAGCGCAAGAGGAAACATCGGCGCTGGGTGTATGTCGGCGGTGGGTTTCTTTTTCCCAACAAGGAGAAGAAAGGCATTCCAAGCTAATGCTCAGTGATGTTATCGAAAATCTTTACTAATGTTGTAATTAAATATCACATCTGTAAGTAACACCCTTACAGGTGTGTAACACCCTTCTCTTATTTATCAGTGTTGTCGGTCGTCGCTGATTCTCAGGCTTAAGCAAAGTAGGGAAAACTCTAGGTCGCCGGGTCACGTGGTGCAGCGGCGACATTACACACGTCCCTTTAAGTTATGGGGAAACTGGGGTTCACTGTCGGGGAGGGGGGCGGCAAGTTCTGTCCGCACAGCGCCTCTAACAGGCTGGATGACTATTAAGACGTCCCCTAACTCGACGGCACGTAGACTTATGGGAAATAGAGTCCTGGTATTTGTGCCGCTGCCCTGGTGTGTCCTGCCAAGCGGACTTCTGGCGCCCTCGTGCGCATGTGCACCTCGGGCTGAGTGCGTGTTCGCGCACGCGCACTACCACCGCGCTGCTGTCGCTTCCTGTCCGTGCCCAGGTCACCGCTGGCCGTGGTTCCCAGGCTTTGGCCTCCGTTGGGCGAGGATCCCGGGGCCTGCGGGGCTGGACGCTGTCCGGTCGGGCCGCCACCCAGCGGGCGCGGGGCTGTGCGGGCCAGGGTTCGCGCGGGCGGGCGGATTCTGGAGCGGGGACCCCCGAAGCGACCCCGGAGCCCGCGGGCCAGGCCCGAGGAGCTCGGGGGAGGCGGCGGGGTCCCGGCTGGGCTGGGCTGGGCTGCGTCGCGGCGGCCGGGCCGAGGCGCGCCGGACGGTGAGGCCCCGCGAGGGACGTTTTCCTGAGTGAGTTTGTCCCGTAGGCCCAGAGCGGGCTCCTCGGGGACGCGGCCTCGGGAGGCGCAGCGGCGGGAACCCCGGGGGAGGGGCGCCGGAGGAACAGTCCGGTCCTAGAGCCTCGGGAGCCTTGGGACAGATCAGCGAGTCCCGCCGGGGTAGGTTGTGCGTCTGCGGCCCCGGGTCAGTTCTGGGTCTTCCCGGCCGCGGTGAGCAGGCTCGCCCGGGAGAGGACACGCGAGGGTGAGACGGGGAGCGTTGGCCACTTCCCGGAGATCCTTGTGCCTGGGCCGGGGTGCAGGGTCGGGCTGCTCGGGAGTGGGCGCTCCCCTGGGACTTGTGACTTCTCGGTCTCCTGGGCGACTAGGGTGTCAGCCTGGGCTGCGGACGTGCGGTGTCCCCTCCCTGCACACCCGACACCCCTTCCTCTGCTTCTCCTCCTCCGGTGTTCCAGTTACAGACGGGTCTCTAAACGCCCATCAGGACCTTTGTTTTCTGACCTAAGTGTAAGTGTGCGCTGACTCCCCCTGGTTCTGCCGTGTGCAGTCAGTCACACAGGGCAGAGCAGGCTGAGTCTGCAAGGGGGAGTGGTGCTGCCCCGGTGACAGAGACTGGGCCTGAGATGGGCAGTGACTTGTCTGCAGGTGGGATTGTTGACAGGACCAAGACTCCCAGGCCAGGCGTTGGCCCCACTTTATTACTGGTTTGTTTTTTTTTTAGTAAAAGATAAATAGCAGCGCTAATCAAGTTTAGTGGGACAAAGGAAACCATGCCTTGATGCACGTTTATCCCAGTTTTGAGAGCTCCTATTCTGTATTCCAGTGGATTCTTTGAGTTTTAGGAATTGAAAGGAACAATAAGGGAATATATAAACGTTTTAAAGTGATTTTTTCCCACTTTTTATTTAATGGAGACCAACACTTGAAAAAGGAGTCAGTGTTTATCCTCACCAATGGGAGTGACCTAATGACCTCTGACCCTTTTGGCTCAGGCCTGTGTTCTCCTCTGTCACTCTTTTTGCCCCTTCTGAGTGTTCACACGATGTCATTTTCTTGAACTTTCATTGGTGGCTTTTATGCAAGAGGTTCTTGCATCAGCAGGCCTGGGTAGACATGACTTCAGTTACTTGCTTCTTCTCTCCTAGGTCCACTGTTAACAATCTCTACACTTTTCCAAGAGCAGCAAGAAAATGCGTGAATTCCAGGTGAGTTTTCGCACTTGGCTGTGTAATACCTGTTAGGAGGTTTATAAGGATCCGTACTTTAAAATAGGAACATAGTAATATGTAAAAGACATGTAAAATACAGATTAGTTTTTTAAAATATATATTTTACTTATTTATTTTCAGAGAGGGAAGGGAGGGAGAAAGAGGGAGAGAAACAACAATGTGTGGTTGCCTTTTGAGCACCTGGCACTGGGAAGCTGGCCTGCAACCCAGGCATGTGCCCTGACTGGGAGTCGAACCTGCGACCCTTTGGTTCACAGGCTGGCGCTCAATCACTGAGCCACACCAGCCCGGGCTGAAATGCAGTTTTGACAGTGTCAGATCAGCACCAAGAATCTTTGTCAAATTCACATATGCAGGTGGTTTGATACTTTAGAGCTATTGAAGTTGAGCTGCAAATATGACCAATGTCCTTGCCTGTCATAGAAAAAGGAAAATGCCATCCATTATGTGATGTGTCTAGAATAAGAAGAGAAACTATTATTGTCCCTTGTGGGTTGTAAAGGTGTCCTGGGACTTGGAAAATTTTCTTTGATCAAGTTGACATAATGTGGATAACTTTCGTAATAACCACCCAGGAAGTCATTGCAATATCGGCTTATACTCACTTTTGTTAGCAGAGGGCCTCCTACCCAAGGAGAACTTGGTGCTTGTGAGTTTTACAGGCACCAACACATTGCGATGAAAAAAAGACACATTTCCATTTTTACTGTTTAGGGATAAAACTGAAGCCATGGGGCAGTTACCTGTTTGTCCTTCAGATACTTCTGTTAGTCTGTTTATTTGGTTGCCAGCAAACAGGACAAAAAAGCATTCTCCAAGAAAGGCGTCCTCACTTCCCATTCCCAGCTGAGTTCTCCGAGTCTTGTTTTTTGTCCTTAACGTTTTCCCGCATCTGGTGGTAAAGATTAGCAGTGACCTAATTATAGTCAAATCCAGTGAACATTTTCCAGTCCTTTCCTCAAGTGACCATTCATCTGCCTTTGACGTTTGTTACTTCCAAACTGACATTTTTTTCCCCTTTTCTTGGCTTTTTAAAAAACTTACCCATATTTTTATATATGTCTTTGAACAATAAAGAGTTTCAAAAGGTGAGTGGCAATAACTTACAATACCATTCTTTCTGATATAACATCTGGTGTTCAAAGTTTCAGTTTTCTTTATTTATCTTTAGAGGGGAAGGGAAGGAGGGGGGGAGAGAAATATCAATGTATGGTTGCCTCTCGTGTGTCCTCTGCAGGGAACTGGCCTGCAACCCAGGCATGTGCTGTGACTGGGAATCGAACCACAATCCTCTGGTTTCCAGGCCCACGCTCAATCCACTGAGCTACACCAGCCAGGGCAGGATTTTCTTGTTAAATTCAGTATGCATTTTGAATATTGCCAGAGGCTTTTCAGCATCTTGGAGATACAAGATTTTGCTTCTGGGCTGTATTTTAATGTCATATCATATTAACAGATTGGCAAATAACAAACTCTTCTGTTTTCTTGGAGTGAGTCCCATTTAGCTGTTATATGTGATCTCTTCAATTTGATAACTAGATTCGTTTTGGATATTCGTGTTGACATCCGTGATGGGGTGTGTAATTTTACTTACTGAGAAAACAGTCTTCTGACCCCTCCCACTCCTTGCCTTCTGGGCCAACTTAAGGCAGAAGGCTGTTACCTCCTTTCGGTGATTTGATGGCTCATTTGACTTGGCCTTGGAATAACCCGCATGTCAGGTTATTTGCTCTGTCCGTCAGCTCTGCTATCGCCACCCGAGGCCCCTCAGTGGGGGACCAGCAGCTCGGCTGTGTTGGTGCCTGTCATCAGGCTCACATGCCAGTTTGACTGGGTGGGAGTTCCAGATCCCAAATCCCTTTCCTTTTAAAAGCTGTGGGCAGTTCTCCATGAGAAACAGTGTCGGTGACGGAGGGTCTGGTGGGTTTTTCTCCTCTGTAACTTTTAGATTTTTTTCTTATCCTTTTGTATATTATATCAGGAGATTGCTGGATCGCTGTATTTTCTCCCCAGTTTCTCCTTTGCCTGCTATACACCCCTCGTGGTGTGGAGGCCGAAGCGAGTCTCCCACTGTGGTACCGTTTCCACTTCTGCCTTTGTTTCCTGTTGTTCCTCCTCCATGTTCTGTCTTTCTGAAAATGTCAAATTTGTTGGATCTGGCTTTCTTAATAAGACGTAATAACCCGGTCTTTCATTTCGAAGTGTCCTCTGGAGGTTGTTTCTGAGCAGAATGATCACATTTTATGGAGGCAATATCCTGCCCAATATATTTAAAAATATAAACTAATACAAACCAATGTTAGTTGTTTCCTTTATGGATTTGATCCCATTGTTGCTGGGTTGTTCATCTTGACGCACATCTTTTACTTCTGCTGTTTTCCTCAGCTGACGATTCTTGACTTTCCGACTGCAGTTTCTGAGAGAACAGTTGCTAAAGCCGCACTGCACGCGGGGCCCCAGTTGGCCCCTCCTCACTTTGCGGAGGCGCTGGCTGCAGAAGGGAATGGGAGGGGTGTGTGTCATTGGACTGCAGCCACTTCATTTCCCCCGATCTTTTTATCACAGTAAAATATACCTAACACCAGCTTCGCTGTCTTAACCACCTTTAAATGCTACCACTCAGTGGCAGTAAGCACACCCGTGCCGTGCAGCCGTCCCTGCCAGTGTCTCCAGAAAGCTGCTCAGCCAGCAGAGCTGAGGCTCTGCCCCTGCTCATTTCTTCCCGGCCCCCAGCAGCCCTGTTCTCGTTCTCCTCCCCGAGTCTAGGACTTTGATTCCTCTAAGTGCCTCGTGTACACAGAATTGTTTGTGCCTGGCTTATCTCACTTAGCACGACGTCCTTGAAGTTCATCCGTGTTGTGGCATCTGTCAGAATTCCGTTTTCTAAGGCAGAATCACGTTCCATTATGAGTGTGTACCGCATTTCTCCGGCTTGTTCATCTGCCCGTGGACGCCTGGGTTGCTCTCACACCTGAGCTGTTGGAATAATGCCTCCGTGAACACGGGTGCACCCACATCTCTTCAAGTCCTTACGTTCAGTTTCCGGGGCATAGACCCAGGGATGCAATTGCTGACCGTGTGGTAATTCTGTTTGACTTTCTGAGGAGCCACTGTGCTGTGTCCACAGCAGCCGCAGCACATCCCGCTCCCACCAGCAGTGTGCCCCAGGGTCCCAGGCTCGCCAGCGCTTGTTGCTTGGCCAGGGGGAAGTTGTCCGGGCTGCTCGCCAGTGAGAGTCGTTTTCCAAGCATGGCCTCCGGGAAAACCTCCACGTCCATCACGAACTGAGTTCACTGTTCACCCTGGTTTGCCTGGGGTGGTCTCGGATTACACCCCCATTCCCGGTATGCTGTCTGGCTCACTCTTTGTCCCAGACGGAAGTTTTCTGTTTGGACAGCGAATGTGTCACCCCTTAATTCCGGGGCTCTGGAGTGGCGTGTTGTGCCAGTTTTGGCTGCACAATTTCGACCATACTCGCCCATCTTCTGGCCACTCTGTGCAGTGAGAACAGGAAGCCCCGGGCAGCTCAGGTGGCCCTGCGCTTGATTTCAGTCAGGGTGTTGCTGTGTGGCAACAGGAGCTGCTGATGGGCCTGGGGATGCTTGAGGGCTTTGCAGGCCAGCCTGCCGGTCACTTGTGCTGTGGCCCAGCTCCCACCCTGTGCAGAGTGTGCTCCGCGGCTCTGACCTCCCAGCACTCTACCCTACATCTGAAGAACTCCCTCAAGAAACCCCTGCTCCTAGAAACCTGCAGCCGGGTCCCAGGGCTCCCAGGAGAATGGACTCAGTTGTTAATATCTTTGAATTGGTCTTAGGCAGGAAAGTAATTGTGTGTTTTCAGCTTGCTCTCGAGTTGGAATTGCCTCTTACTGCGATAGAGCTGTCCTTGACGAAGTGCCCTCTTGGTCTCTGCCCTGTGCTGACCCCCTAATACTGATGCCACTGCGTTTTTTGCCGTGGACACATTTCACACGTCACCCTCTTCCTTCCCCTTCATCCTGCAAGATCCCCAGCCCAGCCTGTGGAGCCCAGCCTGGCAACAGAAAATGAAAACAGTTCACACCGCCTCATGTGCCTTACCCTAAAGACACCTCAGCATTCCTGCCAGCCGCAGCTGTTGCTGCCTTGAGAAGGAGATACTGGAGATAAAAAGCAAAGGAAGGGAAAGTGTGGTCACGCAGAGTGGGCCATGGGGGCAGGGCCTCCAGAGCAGCGAGTGTGGGAGGAGGTGGGGGCAGGGAGGGCCCTAGGCACCAGCATGGGGCCGGGAAGGGGAGGCCCCAGCCCAAGTGGCTGCAGAACAGACCAATGATAAACAGCTTGTGCATTTACCTGGTGTCTGATTAGCGGGGGTCACAACTTCCTGAGGCCAGGAATGAAGCCTTACTCCTCCGTGGCCCCCAAACTCAGGTGCTTCCATTGTGAAACCAGTTTCTTTGTGGTCTGAGAGTTTTGTTAGTTTATTTTATTTTTTGACATAGGAAGGAACTCAGAGGCCATACATTTGCTATATGGTTAGTTTTCCTCCTACAACTCGTAGTGTAAAAGGTAACCACGCTCCCGGTTGACTTCACCAGTGAGCTCAGTAAGCTCTTGTCCCCAGACGCCTGGTCCCCGTCACCCCATTTCGACCACGGTGCCGTTGCAGGAGCCAGTGTCGTTCAGGGACGTGGCTGTGGACTTCACACAGGAGGAGTGGCAGCAGCTGGACCCCGTGGAGAAGACAACCTACAGGGACGTGATGCTGGAGAACTACAGCCACCTGGTCTCCCTGGGTGAGTGGGGTGGGCGCTCAGAGCGGTGCTCTGGGGGGGCTTCTCATCCAGCCATTTTGTCCTGGACTTTGAAGAAATAAGTGATAAGACCATTGAATTCCTTGTGGGTTCCAGGGAGTGTCCGTGTCTCTGCTTCTCCACCCAAAGTTCTAGCGTTGATAAGGCGCAAAACGGGCCACTAGACCCTGCAGCCCCCGAGCAGCGCCTTCTGCGCAGAGACGTGGGGGCCAAGCAGCTGGCCCGAGCCCGGCTTTGTCTCTCACGCACAGGGTACGACAGCACCAAACCCCATGTGATCGTCAAGTTGGAGCAGGGGGAGGAGCCATGGGTGGCAGAAGGCGACTTCCCACGCCAGCGTTGTCCAGGTAAGTTAGTGGGATGTCACCGTTTCAGAATCACCCTTAGATCTTCGGGCGTGACCCCCAGCGCCCGTGTGCCTTGGTGCTTTGAGCCCTAGCTCCCGATGTTCCAGCCGCACTCACCGTCCAGCACGTGGCTACAGCCTCCCGGTGGCCTCACGCCACCTGCAGGGGTGGTCTGTACTCACAGTCCCCGCCCTGGCCGTGCGTGGGCAGTGACTAGCCTTCTTCTTATCACGGAATTTCTTTGTTTCCAGGCACTGGGAAGGCCTGCAGGAAATGTTCTTTTTGTCTTGCATTTTCTTTTCTTTCTTGCTGAGAAATGCCCCAGGCTCGTTTTCTGCCCCCAGTTTCTGTCCCCAAGCTGTGCATTCAGATGCTGATACCTCGTCCCCTCCCAGAGGTGTGAGGCTGGTCCCCAGCTCGCTGCCCAGTGTGCATGGGCTCTGCAGGGAGGTGCGGACCACCACCACTCTCCAGCTTCGTGGGTCCTCCGTTTGTCTGGTGTCTTGACACCAGCTGCACCTTCCTCTTTTCCCCGAGCGCTCTCATGTCTGTCTGTCCATTCCTGTGTCACAGCAGACGTTCTAGACGTGTTTGTCCCATGGGGAGGGGGGGTTGGTTCATTCTCTGGCCTTCTTCAGGGTGCTGCCCCTGGGACCTGCTGTCCACTTCTTTGCATTTCTGTGGGACCCTTAAAAGGGGTCATCTAGTCTCAACCTTGAGGTCTTCATCTGTATCTGTGCTGCTGGTGCACCTCGACACCCACCACCTTCAACCTGTCGTCCAGGGGACTGTTTTTCCTGACAGGTGCCAGCTTCCTTCTTCGCTTCTCCAGTCAGTAGTCCTGGGCCCGTCCCTCTGTTCACTGCAGGGACAGGTCGAGAGAACAGGAACTTGAGTGCAGGCTTGTGGCTGGGCCAGGAGCCCAGGCCCCGCCCCCGAACAGTGAGTGTCTGTGGGGACTAGTGCCGTGCTGGTCTGAACGTGCACTGTGGATCCAGGTCCTGAAAAGTCTCACTGGTGAGGTCTGGCCTCTCAGGGGTTTTCTGTTGATATTTGGGGCTTTGGGGGCTCAGGGCGTGTAGATTTTATAGCACAGAGCGGTCAGTGTTGAGTTGAATGTGGATGAGAGCAGCTAATGAGAGATGGGAGAATCCAAAAATCTGTATCTTGCTAGAGAAAGTTAGTGTTTGAGGGCCCGCTGTAGGGTTCTGGTATTTAAGATTTTACACCAAATGAAATCCAGGAGTGTGGGACTGTAGTTTGTATTCAGAGTTCAGTCACTGTGTCCTGTCAGACCCGGGCGTGGTTTGGGGACATTTAACTCAGAAAGCCGAAAGGAAGTAAATGACAAAATGGAATGAGCGTCTGCTTCATCAGAGCATTCTGAGCAGACGACATGTGCTAACTGAGCTGGTCCGTTCCCAGCCCTGTGCCTCAGGCACCATGGACCACAGTCCAGGTGAGTGAAACTGCGTCACAGCCGAGTCACTTGTCCAGGGTCCCCCGGCTTGTCACGTGTTGGAGTCGGAGTTCAGCACTCCCAGCTGCTGCGCTCAGCTGTGAAAGCAAGTCCAGTGGGCGTGGAATAAGGCTGTCCGCCCCTCAGAGAGCGGGTGAGCCATGCCAGCCAGGGCAAGGGGTGATCTTGTTGGAAAGTTTTCTTGCCGTCTGGTCCTACATCTTCGGGACATAAATTCCCTGGAAACTCGCCGTCCTGGTGACGTGATCAGGGCTAGGCAGGTAGGGCCCTGGTTGTGGGACTGTCTCTGAGCGTGAGGAAAAAAGGAGCTTCTGGAATGTTTATTTGGATTTCTGTGCAGGACAGAAAGGCCATGGTTGTCGAAGGATTTATACTAGTGAATATGTTACTACAGTAATCTTGATATGAAGTGATATATTCCCATTTAATAGAAGTTGTAATCTCTTTCTTCCAAATGTAATTTGAACTTGAATGTTCCCTTTGAATATTCATCTAGTACTTGTTCTTCCTCCATGGACCCCGTCTGCTCTGAGTCGTCCAGTTTCTGCCTGGATCTGGCACTCGTTCAATGGCTTTGTCCTCTGCTCTTCATTTCTTGGGTTCATTTGACCTTTTCTATCAAAGTGTTCAACATATTTGTAAAGTAACAAAGGTACTTGTGTTCAAAGTGAATTTATTCTCCCTTTGTCCACTGATGCTGAGTCCTGTTCCACTCTCATCCCTCCCTGTGCCCCCTAGCCCCGCCCCGTGTGTACATGTGTGTCTGTCTTTCAGGACAAATCAAAGGGGAAAGAAGGCTCTGCATTTTTTATCTGTGAAGGTTAGTGTAAACACCAAAGTCAACCCCACAGCAGGACCCTCGGAACCACTCCCATTCTGTAGCTGGTGTGTTCAGACTCACAAGGTTCATTTGCCTTTATTCCTTTGCAGAAGAAGTCTGGAAAGCTGATGACGTGTTAGACAGAATCCCAGAAAATGAAGATGAACATTCAAGGCAAGCAGTTTGTATCAATAGCAAAACCCTGACTGAAGAGACAGAGAATGCATTTGACAAAACTTGTAACACAGAAGCAAGCCCTGCTCCTTCCAACATATCTCATGATTGTGTCTCATGTGGAAACAATTTAGAGCCAAGTTCGGAATTAATCATTAGTGATGGGAGCTATGCAAGAAAGAAACGGGGCGAGTGTGGTGAATGCAGGGAAACACACCACGGAGAGAGACCCTATGCATCTAATCAGAGTGGGGGGGGCTTTTCTCAGTGTGAAGGAAGTGTTCTTCAGAAAATTGGTATCTTAGAGAAACCCTTTGACTACAGTGGATGCATGGACACCTTAGACAGTGAAGCTGTTTTCATTGCTCGTACGAGCGCTTATGTCGGGGAGAAGCCCTATGAGTGGAGCGATTCTGGATCAGACTTCCTCCCGATGTCGAATTTTAATGTGTACCAGAGACCACAAGTGGAATTGAAGCCTTTTGAATGCAGTGAATGTGGGAAGTCCTTCTGTAAAAAGTCGAAGTTCATCATACATCAGAGGGCTCACACAGGGGAGAAACCCTATGAATGTAACGTGTGTGGGAAATCCTTCAGCCAGAAGGGGACACTCACCGTCCACCGGAGATCACACTTGGAGGAGAAGCCCTACAAGTGCACCGAGTGTGGGAAGACCTTCTGTCAGAAGCTGCATCTCACTCAGCACTTGAGAACTCACTCAGGAGAGAAGCCCTATGAATGTAACGAGTGCGGGAAAACCTTCTGCCAGAAGACGCACCTCACCCTGCACCAGAGAAACCATTCAGGAGAGAGGCCATATCCCTGTAACGAATGTGGGAAGTCCTTCTCCCGCAAGTCCGCCCTCAGCGACCATCAGAGAACGCACACGGGGGAGAAACTGTATCAGTGTGATGAGTGTGGGAAGTCCTACTACCGAAAGTCTACCCTTATCACACACCAGAGAACACACACGGGCGAGAAACCCTATCAGTGTAGTGAGTGTGGGAAATTCTTTTCCCGGGTGTCGTACCTCACCATACACTATAGAAGCCATTTGGAAGAGAAACCCTATGAATGTAACGAGTGTGGCAAAACCTTCAATCTAAACTCAGCCTTCATTCGACATCGCAAAGTGCACACAGAGGAGAAAGCGCATGAGTGCAGTGAGTGTGGGAAGTCCTCTCCGTTCAGCTGCCTCACTGCCCATCCTGCAAGCCCTTTAGGAGAGAAACCCTATGAGTGTCACGAGTGTGGGAAACCCTTCCTTGGAAACTCGGCCTTTGACGGGCACCCGTCACTTTCGAGAGGAGAGAAGTCCTACGAGTGTAACATATGTGGGAAACTGTTCTCGGACTTGTCGTACTACACTGTGCACTATCGAAGCCATTCGGAAGAGAAGCCCTATGGCTGCAACGAGTGTGGGAAGACTTTCTCCCATAACTCATCCCTCTTCAGGCATCAGCGAGTCCACACGGGAGAGAAGCCCTACGAGTGCTACGAATGTGGGAAGTTCTTCTCTCAGAAGTCGTATCTCACCATCCACCACAGAATCCACTCGGGGGAGAAGCCCTACGAGTGTAGTAAATGTGGGAAAGTCTTCTCTCGAATGTCAAACCTCACTGTGCACTATAGAAGCCATTCGGGAGAGAAGCCCTATGAATGTAACGAGTGTGGGAAGGTCTTTTCTCAGAAGTCATACCTCACGGTCCACTACAGAACTCATTCAGGAGAGAAGCCCTACGAATGTAATGAGTGTGGAAAAAAATTCCACCACAGGTCAGCCTTCAACAGCCATCAGCGAATCCATAGGAGAGGAAATATGAATGTACTTCAGGTGGGCAACCTCCTGTGAGTCCAATCTCATTTTGGAAAACCCCCTGAACACAGTTTTTGGGTCAGATACCATGATAGAGAGTTCATGCTTCTGAATGGGGAAAACATTTAGGCATTAGGTTTATTCTAATCTGAATTTTCATAGAGAAGAGTCCCTAAGAAGATAACAAGAAGCAAAGCCTTCATCAAGACACTACAACTCATTGGACGTTAGATAATTTATACGGGAGTAAACTTTATAAATATTTAATATTTATTTTGGATTCAAATTGTATTTACATATCAGGGAATCATACCAAGGCAAAGTCTGTTGAAGTAATAACTGGGGAAAATATTTTGTCTTGGACACTGTTAGACCAAAAGCCATATTTCTGGTGTAAAATCACGTGTTTCTAAGAAAGCTATCAGAAGTTATCACCTCGGAATAAACCTTCATTGTATAAAATGAAGTTTTCAGGTCATCAGGACTAATACCCGGGAGGAAGTTTCCCTCGTGTTTTACAAATGTGATCTAGCAATAATTCTATGCAATTATACACTGGGGTTGGAGTAATGTGTGAGAAGGCAGTGATCTTATTTGCGTAACGAGATGGCAAAATGTTGGCTAGATGTTTGGGAGGTACAAAATTATAAAATGCGTAATTTTCTATTCAGAGGCATTTATAAATGAGTTTCTAATAAGTGCCTCACTAATAGTGATGTTTGTATTTTTCAACTACATTTGAGCAAAAAAATATTTTAAAACCGACTTTTCATAGACTGTAGGTAATTTGGCATTAGGTCTGTGTCAGTGGTACAGGACAGCTGTCCTGCTCTCACTTGTGGGGCGTGCCCTGCCCTCAAACCGGGTAGGTAATCCGGAAATTGTATGTGTGCTGTTATTTCATATGAATACAGGGCTGTTGTTTTGGGCACTACCCCATATTTCCAGTATTTCGGAACAAATTAATACAAGTCTCGCAGACACTTCTGATGAACACGATGTCCTTTCTCCCCTTTCCTTGGTGGAAGGGTTTGGTGCCTGTTGTTTGTTCACGTGACTCGGAGGGTAAGTTCCAATGAGTCCAAATGAATCCTGACAATTTTGTTCTGAGTGCCAGGTAACTGTTACAGTGGCTACCTGACCGCATCTGGGCACCCAGTGAGCAAGTGTGTTTTACCCCAGGAATGGGAGGTGTTTTAATCATCAAAAGTGAGTAACTGTGCACATCACATGAGGAAAGGAATGCAGTGCTGGGAAACTAATGTGCTGAAATCACCCGTTTGTGTTCTCAGCCAGCTGTGCAAAGAGGAGCTGCTTTAATCATGTGAAGCGTATCTTAAGCTACAATCAGCACCATACGTAGGAGTGAAATACTGAAAGTGTTCTCCCAAGATCAAAAAAATAGCCGAGGATGTCTACTATGACTAATTTTATTTGACGTTATGCAGATGGACCTCGCCAGGAAAGTGGAGGAGGAACACAATCAAAAGGCTTAAGGTTTAGAATGAAGTAAAGCTTTCATTTGCGGATGGCATGGTGTGTGCATAGAAAATTCTGCCGATTTTACAGATAATTAAAGTCAATTAGTAAGTTTAGCAAGGTCTCTGCATATAAGTTCATTATGGAAGGCTTGTGTTAGTATACCAGCAATGAACATAGAAAATGAAAATTTTAGAAGCAATACCTCTTATAATTGCATCAAAAGTCCTCAAGTGCCTAGGGGAAAACTTACTTAACCATGTTTTCAAGTTAAAAAGCAAACAGTTATTAAGCAGAGAAGTGTGTTTAGTTCGTGGATTCCAGCACAATTCTTTAAGTGATGTCAGTTTTCCTCAAAATTCAAATATTCAAAACAACATTAATGTTCTTATGAAATTTAGCTCATTCTAAAATCTGTGTGAAAATTCAAAAGACTGACAATAGCCAAGGCTGTCTTCAAGGACAGAAGAGGAAGAGGACTTGTATGTGCAAACATCAAGGCCAGTTGCAGAGCCACAGAAGTTACGATGGTGGGACATTGGCATAGAGATAAGCCAGTGGAGCAGACTATGTGTCCTGAAACACCCATCCATGATACCATCGGTTGGTGATAGAGATGGTAATGCTGTGTAACTTGGGAAAACATGTTCTTTCCAGTAAATGCTCTGTCCATGAAATTCCATAATTTAATAGAACAGTTGAGATGACGTGCGGGTCTAAGTGTGACGTAAAATCATAAGGCTGTTAGCAGGCAACTTAGATTGTAGCCTTACAATAAACAAAATTTCCTGAAGTCTCAAAAGACACCAAACCATAAAATAAAACATTCATTTCTGTTTATTAGAAAAGACACCATTAAGAAAGCAAGTAGGCAAACCACAGTGGGGAGAAGAATGTGCAGTTCACCCCACGCCTGGAGACTTGAGTGTAGGGGCTGGTGGTAAGCATTTGGGCTGCGCCCCGTGGACGGTCTCTGCCACAGCCACCCCGCTGTGCTGCTGTTCAGAGAGCCCTGCACGGTGCAGGGCAAGCCAACGTGGCTGTGTCCCAGTAGGACTTCACGAACAGGCGGTAGTCTGGACAGACCATAGTTGCTGATCTCCTAATCTAAAACAGAAAAAGAACACCTACAAATCAACAAAATCAGAAAATGGTTAAAAGACTTGGACATCCACTTCACCAAAGAGGACATTTAGATGGCCAATGAACATGAGAAAGTGTGCTAATTTTATTAGTAATCAGGAAAATGCGAATTTTAAAAGCCTCATACGTACTACCACCCACCCTCTGAAATGGTTAGAATGAAAAGCATTAAAAAGCATCAAGTTTCAGCAAGAATGTGCTGCTACTGGTCTGGCCGATGGGACCATTTGGGGAACCAGGGGCAGGGCAGGCCGGACGTGTGCACAATGTTTCAGCCAGACCCGGCGGAAATGCTCATACATGTCCACCACCGGTGCCTGTCCTGGAGTGTTCGCGTGAGGTGCGGAAACCAGAACCGTCTGAGGGCATGCTTGCAGCAGGGCGAAGGCACGGGAGTGGCGTGTTTCCACACAGACCATGTCGAGTAAATGGTCCAGACACATGAGCATCGTGTGTGACAAGAACACGCACGTCTACGCAATTAGAAGTCAGGATGGCCTTGGCAGAGGCTGGGGAGCGGGGCCCATTGGTGCCAGTAACAAGCGGTTTCGAAATCTGAGTGTTTGAGTGTGCTGTGCGTGCAAGGTGTGTGTGTCCTGCATGTGTATTCTTCTAACATAAAAAGTTGTTAAAATCACGAATGTCTACCGTTTCATTGCTCAGCGCTGTTGCCACCTTCTGCACGGGCAGGGACGTGCTGCAGAACAGAGTTCGATGGTAGATCGTGGGATTCTGTACAGGAGATACTCCAGTGGTTTTCAGGCAACCACTAAGATTCCCTGCACCGCGACCCGAAAGCTTAATGACTCACTCGTAGTTTAAGTCACACGTCTGAAGGTCAGGCAGCGACGGATTTTTATCATCCTACCCTTTGCATATGTGAGTGGGTCTGAGCTGCCTCTTCAATAAAACTGATGTGTGTAAACGTTTTGTGTTTTTGCGAGTTCGCATTTCTGAGTTCTGGGGGCCTCATTACCGCAGAGGCGACCTTTCTCTGAGACACAAATACAACGGTGAGTTTGGTCCCGTGAAAAAGCAAATTTAAGAGTTTTCAGGTGATCGTTGAGGTACAGGTGGCAGCGCGGCTGGAGCGAAGGGAGCAGTTAACTGAGACCTCGCACCAGAACCCGTGAGTCCCCTGACGTGGCGTGGGCCTAGCAGCGGCGGCGCGGGACGGGCGCACGGTGGACGTGGGGACCGGGACCGAGTGCACTGGGCTGTGTCCACCTTCTCGCCCTCGACCAGGCCGGCGGATGTGGGGGCCTGAGCGTGAGTTCCCCCTCTACAGTTACCACTGCTTGTGGGCTCAGCGTTCCACGCCGTTCTCTCCAGCGATCGGAAGGCAAGGCCAGACCCCTAACCCTGGAGGACAGAAGCCCGCGCAGCACTGTTCCTAATCCGTCCCACTCGTGCCTGGGTGCGGCGTCCGTGTTCCTCCGGCCTGGCCTGGAGGGGGGGGGTGACCACGACGACTGCGCGGCCCCGCCCCGGGGACCCCCAGGCGCAGGGCTTCGGGTGCCGCGGCTCCGCTCCGGCGTGGGGCTGGTCTGCAAGGAGGGACCAGGCAGGGCGAGACTCCAGGGACTTAGCAGCGTGGCCTGTTGGGACAGAGACAGGTCCAGGGGATGGTTTGTCCTGGCTCGAGGGGTGTGGTCGGAAGTGGGGGTGTGGCACAGCAGCGGGCGGGGCTCTGGTGGGCGGGGCTCGGGCCGAGCCTAGAGCTCCAGGGTCAACTCCGGGAACTGTATCCAACAGTCCGGGGGGAGCCCGAGGCCGGCAACCGGGCTGTGGCCGGTGAACTGTGACTGAGGCCTGGCTGTGAGGGCCGGGCCTCTGGGGCCATGGGCCAGGCACACGGGAGGGGGCGGAGGGAGGGGGCGCACGGTGTACAGCGGGGGGGGGGGGGCCTCTGACCGCCCGTCTGTCTCCTCCCACCCCCTTCCCCAGCCCTGCTTAGCCATGTGGTGTCCACTGGTGCTGCCGCCGCTGCTGCTGCTTTCTGTCACCCCCGTCCCCACCGCCACTGCCACTCCCATCCCGAATGTCGAAACCCAGGACAGTCAGCCGAACCTACTGCAAGGTGGCCACTGCCTCTAAACTGCGGGTTGGTTGGGGAAGGAGGGACGGGGCAGACAACGAGAGAGACCCAGGGAGGAGGGGACCCGCAGGACGAGAGGGGCAGGAATAGGGGAGAGTGGGACAGACCAGAGACAGGACTGAGGGCAGGAACCCGGTAAGAAGTGGGGACGATATGGGGTGTGGCCTGCTTGGGCCGAGAGGGTCAGTGGTTGGAGAGCGAAGAGGGAGAGGAAGGGACACAGGGCAGCCGGGAAGGCCATGCAACCCTCAGCCCGCCCCCTGAGCGCGCAAAGGACCTGCTACGGATCAGGGAGGCCACCCTCTGCCTTGTGGGCTCCAGCGCCTCCGCAGGGGCCCTGGCCGGGGGGCAGCGCGCTTCCTGGCTGGCAGCAGGAGCGCCTCCTGGAGCCCATCTTGTTCTTCCCCAGGTGCCCAGGCTGGAGAACACGAAAAGCTGTGGGTGGCCAAAAACCCGGCCCCAAAGTGTAGGTCTCCTCTGGGGTCATGAGGTGGCTGCGCAGCGGGGCACCCGGGAGTCAGGGACTGCATCTCCGCGAGAAGCATCCGCCCTCTGCGATGGGCTCCTCAAGGGGGCCGGAGGGGCACGGGCACGGGGGGCCTCCCCTGCCCCACACAGCCCACTCCCCAGACCCACTCTTGTCCCTTCCCGGGGTCATCATCAGCCACAGTGGCTGGAAGTGCGCATCGGGGCACTGGCAGGGGGCAGACATGTGTCCTCACCAGCCCCCATCCCCAGCTGCACTTAGAAATAAAGTTCTTTCTTGCAGCCAGCTTGCTGCTTCCTCCCGAGACCCGCTCACAACTGGGAAAGGATTGATTTGTCTGCTTTTGCCTAGAGCGGCTTAGAAGCTGCCTGAGGCAGGGAGGGGCGGCCCAACACTTCCCCCAAGAATGGGGCTCACACTGAGTTCTCAAAGAGGCTTCGTTGTGGAGAATTAGCCCGGAGAGACTGGCGCAGCTGGGCTGCTTTCCCGAAGCTTGTTGTATAGACCTGAGGAGATGGTCCCTGTAGGGTCATGCTCCGCCCTGGAGTGAGTCACTAGGAATGGGGGCAACTCTTCGCTCTTTGGATCCACGGGATGGCGAGGTCTCCCTCTCTCCACGGGTATTCCTGCGTGGATGCCGTCTTTTGGGAGCTGAAGTCATCATCGGGGAACAGAGCTCTTCAAACCCCTTCTGAGCCCTGTCTCCTTGAGTCACTGGCATGCACCTCTTCAGTGCAGTGGTGGCGTCAGCTACCTCTGTTGTGTTATTTTTTTCACTGAAGTGTCACAGTTTGCTGTGCATACCTCTCCGTCCACCACATTTGGGATGAGTGCTGCCTACTCATCTGAGAGGGAGGTGCCAGGGATCCTTTTTCCCAAAGTGTTTTTCTCCACTGGGGGATAAATTGGGGTCTGGACCACGGGCAGCCCTTGTCTCCCACGCTTCACGTTTCCAGAAGTGATTGTCACATCCTTTGACACCAGACACAAGTGCGAAACTAATACAAGGTGCTAACAAACAAATTTCCCTTCAGGAAAGAGGGAAGGCAGCGGTGGCGGTGGTGGCAATGGCAAGGGGGTGAGTGGGACTTCTGGGGCTCTGGTGATGTTCTGTTTTTTTACTTTGTGAAATTTCATCCAACAGTAGCATTATTTTGTGCACTTTTCTGTAAGTCTATTATGTGTCATTTTTAAAAGATTTTTTCTTTACTTATTTTTAGAGAGAGAGGGAAGGAGGGAGAGAGGGAAAGGAAATACCAATGTGTGGCCTCTCACACACACCTCTGTGGACCTGGCCTGCAACCCAGGCATCGAACCAGTGACCCATTGGTCTGACTGGGAATCAAACCAGCGACCCTTTGGATCACAGGCTGGTGCTCAATCCAGTGAGCCACACCAGCTGGGGCTGTATGTCATTTTTAATATATTTTTTTAAAATCATGTCTAGCATGTAAAAGTAAAATTGGGTCCCTACCCACATCTTACAGGATAAATTGCATATGGATTAAACATTTAATGGGTAATAAAAATCAAACCATAAATGTCTAAGAAGAAAACAAAGGCAAGCATACTTTGACTTAAAGTATAGTCTTTCAAGTACGATGCACTACCCGGAAGCTACAAAGGAAAGCATAGGTCTGACTACCCGGATATAAGAAAATGTTTTCCCTGTGGCAAACACTACTACAAACATCAGAAGGCAAATATCAAAGCAGGAAATTAAAAAACAAGTTATAACCAGTAAGAAATAGAACCCAAGATGAGTAGAGAAAAATGAGAAAGAACGTGCATAATCAGTGTCAAAAATACAAATATATTTTAAAACCATGAAAAGGTCAGTGTTACTCGTAGAGAAGTACAAATTAAAGTCACACTGAGATGCCGTGTTTCTACTGAATTATCGGTGTCCCAACACTCTCTCCTCACTGTGCTGGTGAAGGCATGTGGGAGCCAGGTCTCTCCATGTGCTCCAGAAGGATGCACAAGGTGCTGTGATAACTAGAGGGTAGCATGGCAGTGACTGGTGAAATACCCAAATTTAAAACGTGCAGACCCTTTGACCTACTGGTTGCACACACCCCAAATAACACAGGGACAGGGATGTTTACTGCAATACTGAGATTAGAAACCATCTCCATGTCCTTCAACAGAGACTTTGAAAAAAAATTTTTTTTACTTCCAGCTAAGATGGAGGCGTAGGTGGAAATATTGTGCCTCCTCGCACAACCAAGTTTAAAGACAACAAAGTTTTAGTAAAGAAAACGCAACCAAAACCCAGAAAATTGAACTGTACGGAAGTCCAACAACAACAAACCATTTAGCCAGACTGGTAAGAGGGGTGGAGCCAGCAGCTGGTGGAGCAGGGTCCGGCATGAAAAAGCAGCCTGACCGACCCAGGAGCACAGGCGTGGTTGGCAGATCCCAGGCGTGGGGGTGACAGCGGGCAGACCCAGTGGGGGTGCAAGGCGGCTTGCTGCCTGAGGTCACACATCTGTGTGCAGATAAACCAGGTGAAGGAGCAAGCAGTGAGACAGACCGCACAAACCAGCGACAGGAATTAAAGCCTAAAAGCACCAACTGGAAAAACTTTCAGGGTCGAGGTGCCAGGAGAAGCTCCCAGGCTCACAGAGAGTTTGTTGGAGAGACCCACAGGGTCCTGGAGGGTGCACAGGCCCACACACCTGGAAGCCGGCACTGGGGGGCCTGGTTTGCTTGTGGGAAGCAGCAGAGGGGACCGAAGTCTGAGAGAGAGCAGAACAAATGCCATTGCACTTCTCTGACCCCACCCCCACATACAGCATCACACCCCAGCGACTGGGTCGCCCTGCCCTGGTGAACACCTAAGGCTTTGCCCCTCATACATAACATGCACAAAAATTATGGCTCAAGAAGAACAGCTCAAAGCCCCAGAGCCAATAATTTTAAGCAACCAAGAGGTAGGCAACCTATCAGATGCACATTTCAAAACACTGGTGATCAGGATGCTCACAGAACTGGTTGATTTTAGTCACAAATTAGAGGAACAAATGAAGGCTAGACTAATTGAAATGAAGAGAAATACACAGGAAACCAATAATGATGGGAAGGAAACTGTGACTCAAATCAAGGGAATGGACCAGAAGGAAGAAAAAAAAGAACAAACAGAAAAGAATGAAGAGGACTTCCACCAAGATGGAGGCATAGGTGGATACGCCATGCTTTCTCACAGAACCAAGTTTAGAGACAACAAAATATTAGCAACAGAAAACACAGCCAGAACACAGAAAATTGGACTTTTCAGAAGTCTGATAACAACGAATTCTTCAGCCTGACTGGTAAGAGGGGCGAAGCCAGCAGCTGGCGGAG